CCTAGTTTTTTGAGACATTTTCTGTGAAAGTTTTGCCTGACAGGATTAAAAAAAATATGAATCAATCACTCCCTCAAAACGTGAAGCTGCCCTAAGCTACCCATAGCTACACTGAAACAGAGAGAGATTCAATCACAAATAACTGAACTCAATACAAAACCAAAATAATTTGTTTTAAATAGGTTAATGTAAAATTATCATCGAAAATTCAGGAAATTCAGAGTTTTGGTTTCCAAGGAAAATTAATCCAGTCCTCTTGTGTGCATGAAAGGGTTTTTTTTTTTAGTACTGAATCTACTAAACTTGTGCTTTAATGCATAAATGTATAAATTTGTGGCCTACTTATGGTTGCCGTGGGAGCTGTTACTTTGAAGGTCTTGATTTTTTATGTTTAATTTCTTGGCCATAGATTTTCCTGCTGAATTTCTTCAGATGAGAAAGAAAAAAAAGGAGACAAGGGGTTGATAGAGCTGCACACTCAAATCCTACTTTTCCCATGATGAGCATTGCCCTGTTACAGCACCTAGAACTGCCTGCCCAAAGATGTCTCCTTGGGAAGGACTGAAGAGCTGACAGATCTCTCAGGCCTTTCTTCTCTGGCTCCATCACTTCTATTTCCATCACTGCTACTGTTTGTTTGAAAGGACATAGCTGATCCATGATCTGCATTTTCCTCAAGCTTTGATGATATCTAAAACAAAATGAGGATGTTTCCTCTGTTATTCTGACTCCATCTTCCTTAATCAATTACCATCCATGTGACCCTGGGGAGAAAAAATCACTTAACTTATGCCTGTTTCCCCATCTGTAAAAAAAGTTATTTGTGTTGCCTCTCAACTTCAAGATGGTGGTCAGGAAAATTATTTGTAGATCTTAAAGGAACTAGATATGAAGAGGTTTCTGAGGTATGTGAACTTAAATGTGTGTGTATATACATATATATATGTGTGTGTGTGTGTGTGTGTGTGTTTGTCTATACATACATACACACGCACATATATACATGTATAACTTTGTTTCAATATAATTGGTTTCTTTTGTGACCAATTGTATTTTGTGCATTTAAAACCTTTATTCTGAGAAGGCAGTCCATAGGCTTCACCACACCAAGAGCGAGTACAGGACACACAAAAGGTCTTAACCTGACCTAGGGGCAATGAGTGATAGAATAGATAGACCAGGGTAGGGAACCTGCAGCCTCAAGGTCCTTCTAGGTCCTCAAGTGCTGCCCTTTGACTGAATCCAAACTTCACAGAACAAATCTCCTTAATAAAAGGATTTGTTCTGTAAAACTAGGACTTGGTCAAAAGGCTGAACCCAAGGACCCAAAAGGACCTTGAGGCCACAGGTTCACCACCCCTGGGATAGACCCTACTCCAACTCCCTCCCCCCAATAGTACTCTCAGGACAGAGGAATAGAAAACCAAAAAGCACCTCTAAGGAGTAAGTTCTTACAAGACAGTGGCTCCCCATTCTTCAGCACTGGAGGAAAAGAACTTACCTCACTGTTCAAGGTAGGAGGGAGGGGACGAAGTTTTTGAGCAGCTGTAAATATTTTTTCTGTTTCTGACCTGTCATAGTAAATAAAACAAACAAACAAACAAAAAATACCAAATGGCTTCATCTGAGAGTACCAGTTTAAATTTCAATTAAGGGGAGAGTGGGACAGAAAGCAAAATTTCCTCCAACCCATCACTGCCCTTTCTATACATTCCAAGGATCCCTTTCCTTCTTGGGCTCTGGGAGCACTGCATGTGAGGGACATGCTGTCATTTGGAAATCTGAGGGCCTTGTAAGGATTTTAAGTTTTACCTTTGACACCCTAGCACCCAACTTGGTTTGTTTCTGTCAGGTAGTTTCAACCCTTCCAGAAGTCAATGTTCTGTCATAGTACTGGTCAGAAGAACTAAACTCAATGACTGAAAACCAGTTTGGGCTTGTAGCAAAACCTGCCAGAGGGAGCCCCTGCCAGCCATGCATGGGCAACTCTCTTCCAGCCAGTGAGATGTTCCCTTGGGTATTCAGCTGAAAGGCCAACTCTGTGGGTACCACCCTGAGGTGTGTAAGGTGACAGGCCCAGGCAGGGCATTCTGACATGCTAGAGGGCATGAAATTTGAATCTGGGGTGTGTGTGGAATCTCAATTGAACATGTGTCTTAATATCGACACAAAGAGATCACTTTAACCCTAGCTGAAACTCAGTCATGATGGGGGAAAAAAAAAAGTCTTGCTCTTTTTCCAAAGGTGGCGCGCGCGCGCACACACACACACACCCCTCCCCCCATGGGGGAAGTGGACGTTCTGTTATTAGTAAGTATCTATTACATCCAAATGTATGAATGAAAAAATCCACAGTGCATTTACCCCAACACTGGAAGGTTTTGGGGAGACAAGGGGAACATGGTTTTTGTTTATGGGAATATTAGTAAGAAAACTGTAAATGAGATTCTGGAATACAAATGGATACATTGCAATTGAGGATAAAAGTAGTTTCTAAACTGCTCATGGTAGCCATTCCTTGTTCCAAGAAACATTGAGAATCAGTTATCACGGCTAAGAAATACCTAACTCTCAAATGCTAACCTGTCTGGAAACAATCTGGGAAAAAACGGGCAGTTACTCAGGTCTGGAAGTCCTCTCCCTCTCCCAGGGGAACTGTTGAAATTTCTCAACATAACTCTCAAATGCCAATTAGGAAGTACTGTTAATTGATTTCAAATTCATCTGGATTTAGCTGTCCTCTTAAAGTTAAGATTCAATTTTCTTTCCAATATCCAACATAATAGAAGTGTGTGTATTGGAGGGGAAGAGGGGATGGGAGAGAATGAATATACTTCAGGATAAAGTGTAAAGCACTTCAAAAGTGCCAAGAAATGCTAGTTATTAATTATTCTCATAGTGGCTAATCTTATTGCTGGATCTCAAGTTATTAAGTTACAAGTTGCTTACATTCTTAACCTGCCTTTTAAACTCCTGGGATCATGGAAGGAGGTCTACAGTTAGCGTGATGGGATACGGACCTGATTTAAGCTTTACATAAAATTTAACTGCATTGACCTCACTGTCATACAACATACTATCATTTTTATGTGTCTGGGGGTTGGAGGTTATTTCCTCATCCCACCAAAAGCTTCATGTACCCAATTCGACAGCATTGAAGCTACACTGAAGCATTGAAGCTACACTGAGAAGGCAAAACAGAATTAGGTTTTAATAGATGTCACTTTTGAATATCCTCCTCCCTTCCAAAATGGCCCATACCCTAAACTTCTTTCCTTTGTAGGAAATGAACCATGACTTGTTCCTGCCAGCGGAGCTCCTCAAAAATAAAAATAAAAACAATTTTATAAAAACCTGGGGGAAGGAAAGGATTATCCCCTTACAGACCTGTCTCCTTACTTCCGCAGAGAAATGAAAACCAGTCACACAACCTTCCCTTAGATGCTGGATGAGGCTTAGAATTGCTATTATTGACCATATTGTAGAGAAATAAGTAAAAAATAAAGACCCTTCCATTCAACCATGCATCACAGCAAAGCTCTAGTGGCCAGCGCGACCGCTAGTTCTGGGTGGGTGGGTCAGACCCTTTCCTTTAGGGCTTCTAGTAACTTGCCATCTGTAGGATATCTGCCACCTCCTGAATAGTTTGGAGGCCGCCTACAGGTGCAATACCCACATTGCTGAAACAAAGCTGCCCGCCTTCCTAGGCAGCGGAGCCTCTCTCCGGGACTGGAAGATCTGGAAGGGAAAGCCCAGGAAGCGACGTCTAATAATAGTCTAACTCACTCGCCCATCTCTGGTCGCCCCCACTATCGCAGCAGAAGGGAGGGGGAGAGGAGGCACTGGGTCTCCTTTTGCTTTGGTCTCCACCTCCCCGCCACACCCCCTTGCGCTTCAGCTGGGCTGTTTGGGAGGGAGGGAGCTAGCGAGCAAGACAGGCTTTGCAAACTCTGATCCCATTGCTGGGGAAGACGGGGCGGAGGAGGAGAGACCGACAGTAGGATCAGGACTCCCACCCCGAAATCGCAGACACTCGGGTAACGTTTTTCAAAATTCCAGGCAAAGGGGGCTGCTCAGGTGGTCTCGGCCGGTCTCCCCAGCCTCTCGGCGGATCGCGGGAAGCGCCGTTGCCGCTGCACGGCTCACTCCGAGAGAGCGCGCGGGGCTAATTGGAGGTCCCTCCTTCTCCTCCTCCCGGAGAGAAGCCGCAATTGACGCATGTAAGGGGAAGGAGGGGGAAAAAAGGAGGAAGCTTTCCAGCTCTGGCCGTGTGAAGCCGGGCTTGATAGGGCTCTTCCCACCAGCCCGGCGTCACCACGGGGGGAAAAACCGAAATGCAAGCCCTGCCAGCGCCGGGGCTCCAGACACACACACACACACATCCGTCTCCTTTCTTCTTCTGCTTTACACACCTGAGGCGCCACGTGCCCCCCCCACCTCGGCTCACTTTACCCGCCCCTATAAGCGCGTTCCAAGCTCTAGCCCACGCGTGGGATCACATGTCACGCCTCCTCCACCACGCGGATACTAAGGGAAGCGTTTGCCAAGGCATCCACATATACGCGTATCTACACACATTCCTAATTAGTCCATTCTCTCCCTACCCCCCAATTCCAGCAGTAACCCCTCCCTATCTTTTCCACCAAATCTCTTCCGTTTGCTCTCCCCGTGTAGGTGTGTCTCGACCCACCCGCACCTCTACAGGCTCTTTTCCTCCCCTCTTGCCCCTACTAAGGCTTCTAGGGCGGCTGCAACCCCCCTTCCTTCCCAGTCTGGGAGAAAGGGAGGAGGGGGAGTGGGCGTGGGCGTGCTCGGGAGGTCTCAAGAGAGACCCGCCCCCTCATGAATATTAATAAGGAGCGCATGCGCCTTCCTCCTGCGGTCGGATAGAGTTAGAAGCCGTCTCCCAGACGGGCTCTCAGGGTTCTTCTCTGTGTGAGCCAGGCTGGAGGGCGAGCGTGGTGCGGGCGCGTGTTATTGTGTTACCTGTGAGGAAGCGGTGGCTTTTTTTTCCCCTTCCTTCCCTCCCTCCCTCCCCCCTTTTCCCTGCAGCTGATCTGAAAGGGAATAAAAGGCTGCGAATAATCATAATAATAAAAGACAGCAGCCTGAGAGAAGGAAGAGGAGGAGGAGGAGGAGGAGGAGGAGGGGGGAGAGAGCAAGAAAAAAAAAAGAAGAAATCAGAATAATAAAAGGAGGCTGGGCTCTTTTGCATTCAGGACCCGGACTATTGAAAAGGCTTTTGAAAAGTGGTGTTGTTTTCCAGCCGTGCATGCTCCAATCGGTGGAGTATATTAGCCGGGACGCGGCGGCCCCAGCAGCAGCGTTCAGTGTCTCCGCGACCGGCAGCAGAGGTTACAGGAAAAGGCGATGCTTTTACCACGGGCACCCGTCCGGACTGAGTACTCTTTAAGTCTGATCATCGCTCTGCTATGTTTGCGAGTAAAGGTACGTTGCACTCCCGCAATCCTACGCTAGAATGTTAGGAGTTTGTACGTATATATATGTGTGTGTGATGGCCTTCTTTTTCCTTGGTGAACCGGCGTTCTTCCCTTCCTTGCTTTTTCCCTTTCCCCCCCCCCCGTTAGTCACTTTCTCAAGAGTGGGTAATAAAACTGTTTGCACCTTGGACTTCTTTGATTGCTGCCCATACCTCTTCGTTTTCGCTTCTCCTCTTTCAGGAATATACACACTTTTTTTTTTTAGTATATGTCTATACGTATACTAACTATACCTAGATATTTACACTATTCTCCCCTTTGGATGTTTTCTTTTACAGACGTGGTTCCCGTGCACTGGGGGCTTAACCTGGTTTTATCTCAGTCGGGTCCGGCGGCACCTCAGCTCTGCCCTCCCTCTTACTCAAGATTTTGTTTCTCAGCTTGTGCTCTGTTTAATGCTTTCTTGGTTTGACGTTTGTCTAGCGCTAACAATCCCTGCCCTTCTAAGTTTTTTTTTTCCCGTCTCCAGGCTGGGGAAAACAATCACTTTAATTTCATTTCTTAGATGTGTGTGTGTGTGTGTTGTTGTTGTTGTTGTTGTTTGTTAGGTTTTTTTAAATTCAATTCCTTAATCCTTAAAAAAAAGTGGGAAACGTATTTTCACAGTTGTCACTATGAATTTCACTGTTACATGTCTTGTAAGTGGGTTGGGATTTCTATCTCCTTCTCCTTCCCCACCCCACTCCACCCCCCCGCATTAAAAAAAAAATAGCCCAAGATAACTTTTTCGCAACTCTTTCTCGGGGTGGGGGGACTTAACAGGTGTCCTCAGCATCCGGACAGTTCGAATTGGAGATCTTATCTATGCAAAACCTGAATGGGGAATTGCAGAATGGGAATTGCTGCCATGGCTCCCGAAATCCAGAGGATAGAAAATGCACCAGAGACGAGTGTGCTACTTACTTTAAAGTTTGCCTGAAGGAGTATCAGTCCCGGGTCACTGCGGGGGGGCCTTGCAGCTTCGGATCTGGATCTACTCCGGTCATCGGAGGGAACACTTTTAATTTGAAATCGAATCGGAATAGTGAAAGATACCGGATCGTTCTCCCTTTCAGTTTCGCCTGGCCGGTGAGTCCCAAGTTCTTTCTTGCTGTTTGCGTTTCCCTAGCGAGCAGCATTTAAACGTCTCTGTCCCTGAGCGTGTGTTCTCTTTAAACTCTCCGTGGGGAAGTGGGGGTGGTGAAATCTTTGCCGAACGACTCGCGGAAATCCCCACGGGAGTTATTGAACGCTCCAAATCCCTGCAGAACAAGGCGGCGAGCTGAGGGGGCTGCTGGCTAGGGGTTTGGGAGGGAGATTTATAACCGTGCAACTGTCTTGCTTGCTTCCTGAGCGTGCAGAGTTGAAAAAACGTAGCTGGTTTGCACTGTGATCTTTGAGCAAGATGAAAAATCTGCATCAGTTGTGCAGAAGGAATCATTTTAAAGTGTTGTGCACTTAAGAGCCTGCTGGAATTAAGTCTCGGTCCCGCGCTATTACTCCTTTCTCCTCTCCCTTGCCCCCGCCGCAGAGGAAATAAGAGGTCAAGAGTTCATTATAAATGTGTGTGTGTGTGTGTGTGTGTGTGTGTATGTGTATGTGTATGTTTTAACCATTTAAATCTAGTGTACCAGAGAAGGGAAAATGCAGTTATCGCATGTGAACGCGATCCAAATTGGCACTCTCCCCTTTTCCGTGAGCGGGTGGGGTGTGTCTTTACTGGAGGAGAAGGGAGGAGAGAGGTAGCCTGTTTCCCGCTTCTTAAGAGGGAGACTTCTCAGCAAGGACGAGGTTGTCAACTCTCTGCTTGGGGCTCGGGGATCGTCGTCATCCCTTCTAAGCTACTTTGCAGCTGCCTCGTCGTGCTTTTTATCGTATCTAGGGCAGGGGAGACCCCTGGACTTTTTGTTTGCTTTGGGAAGGGGGCAGTGTGGGTGTGCATTTTTCCCACCCTCGTCCCGTGCTCCCTTTTCCCCTCTCTCCGCGGTGTGGCTTCGTTTTCAGCGGTTATCTGGCTCCTTGGAACAGCTGTGTTTTGCAAACTTCCCTGTTAAGTGCAGACCGCAGAGAGGAGAAGGTGGAGCCTGGAACCATGTGCTCTGGGAGGCACTGCAAGGAACCGCCAAGAGAGCCTCCACCTTCTTCCATCTTCTGGAGACTAGGCTCCCAGGGAAGTGACCTGGCCTAGGAAGGGTCTGCATCCCTAACCAATATTTTTCTTTTAATGGTGGGCAGGAGGGGCTTGCATCTACTCTTTTTAAAAATAAAGGCCTCCCCGAGTTACTTGCTTATTGCCCCACTTCTATGGGGGGGGAGGGTGCCCTTATATTGTCTGCCACCTAATGCAGATGTGCGCAGTAAAATGACATTCCTTTGCAACTGCCTCCCTTCTCCTAAAAGGATGTAATCAAAGTGGTCTCTCCTACCAAAGGAAAACTTGGACAAAATTATTGTGATACATTCATTATCAGGTACACGTCGAAATATCCAGAAACTGAAATGAGGTGGGGAGCTTTGGATTTTAAAGTGGGGGGGGGAGCGGTTGTTTTTCAAGGGCTGAGACAGACCAGGCACCAATGGGAGGGCTGCAAAGATTTGGGTCGGCCCCACTGGATGGTGGGTGGATTCAGTTACTGGGAAGAATGCATTCAGCCATGTGCTTTAGAATTGTGCCCTCTGCTGCCGCCTACCTGTGGTCCTTGAGAGTCCCAAGCTGTGATTTCCCCAGTCTTCCGAGCACTGAAGAGGGTGGTGTACTTCCGCCTCTGGAAAGTGGTTGGGAAGAAATAAAGTCCACATTTTCAGGAGATAGCATTACAAAGTGTAGCTAACAAAAGTGTTCTCTGTTGGGACCATAATCAGACTCCATCATTTATGTGTGTGCCTGAATGAAATAAAACTGTTATCAAGTATACCATCAAATGGATAAGGAGTTTTATAAAAAATCTGTGGTATTTGAAGTTCTGCCAAAGTCTTCAGTGCTGCTACTGCTATGGGATTTGACATTTCTGAAGAGCAGGTTCGTCTAGATGTCTGTTTTTCCCCCTTTTGAAAAAGAAAAATCTCTGAACAGAACTTCAACTGAAAACTAATTTTCTACTGCTCAGGAGTTCAGAGTGGCTTGAACAGAACAGTGTTTCCTGCTAAGAGAACTTTCTTTAAAAGTAGAAGGGACTGTGTTCAAAGCCTACTTCTGACATATAGCAGGGCATGTGACCTTGGACAAGTCACAGTCCTCTAACTTCATCTGGCTTGGATTAGATGGCCTCAGAGACTTCTTCCTCATCCTGATCCCATGACTTTGAATAGGGCTACGTGGGGGTGGGGGATGAAACAGATGGGCTTTGGGGACAAATATAGGGAATTTGGTGACAGAACATTTCTATTTATGTTCCCTATTTAACAAAATTATAAGCTAAGACTAAAGTAAAGCTAAAAAAAAAGTATAGCTATGAGGTTTGTTTGAGAAGGTGGTAATGCCTTCATGGTTGGTATGGAGAGCCTAACTTCATTGTATAGCCTGTCTATCAAAGTTTGGGAATAGTAAACTAGAGGAGATAACTCTAGTTCTTCTTGATAGAAGTGGGAGGACTAGAAATGAAGCATGCTGGGGTAGGGAAGTGATTCATTTTTATTCCAGGAGCTCCAGACATTCAACCTGTACCTTCCTGTTTCTCACTTGCCTTCCCCCTCCACCCCATCCCACCCCCAGAAAGTTGTTCTCTAACACATTCCTAAAATTATTCAGGAAGTGTAGGTAAGTTTAATGCCTGTTGCCTTGATTGATGTTTGAAATGGGAAACTTGAAGTTTATTTTTCTTAAAGCATAATTTGAAAGTGTAAAGTTTGGTAGTTTCCCTTGAATCTCCAAGTGTGGTTAGCAAAGTATTCATACTAGTATTGAAACAAAAGGTGCTTCATCATTCTCCTAATCTATGATTCAGTAATCATAAAATAGGCTTTAGATTTGAAGGATGGCCTTCATTTCTTGAAAGTACTGGGCTAGGTTGACCTGCTCAGGGTATGAAATGGACTTTGAATTTCTTGTAAGAAGTTTGATTTAGTTGCCACTATAGTGCTGTAAGTTCTGTAAGTGAAGGAATTTCATTTTGATAATGACCTTGATCAAACAAAGGTTTTCTAGTGGTGGAAAGAAAGAAGTGGAAGTGATTTAGCAAGATATGAAATACAAAACACATTCTAGTGTTAATATATTAAATACACTAAAAGTTTTTTGTTACATCCATTTGGCTTAGACTACTTTGACCCTGTTTTCATAGTTTTATCTATTTTTTAAGTTATTAGCTTTATGCTTTCAGATTTATGCAAACTTTTTTTTTTTGAGGAACAGCGAGGTTTATAATTTTGGAAAAGGGAGATCACATCTCACCCTAATGCCCTTTATTCAATTAAACAAGAAGATGGGGAATCATTTTGTAACCAGTAAATCTTATTAAACTGTGCCCCCAAAGTGATGTTGATCCCCAGTTAATGGTTGCTTATCAAAAATGTGTTGGGAAAGCAGTATAAGGCATTGGAGCAGATGGCTAAATTTGGAATTAGAAGACCAATTCCATTTCAAATCCTAGCAGTGCCATTTACAACCATCCTAACGGTAAAACCGAGCGGGTGAGTTGAATTAGATGATCTTTCAGGTAATTTGTGGTGCTAAACTTGTGATCTTATAATTGCCTCTACCAGTCCTAAAAACATTTTAGATCTGCAGAAACTTAACACATTAAATTGTATTGATGAAGACATCCATCTAATTAGGGTTGGACTTGCCTGGCCCTAGGAAGAGATAAACACAAGAACTTTGGAATTGTTTTTATTTAAGTTTTATAGTTTTCTTGCCTGACTGGACACCTTATTAGACACTGATAACATTGACCCAGCATTTAAACAATTGCAAAGATCAACTGTGAATTGTTAAAGGATAAATTATTTGAAATATGAGCTATCTGTACCAATGAGGCTGCCAACTTTGACCTGCTCTATGCTTATTTAGTGAATGAATGACCCAACTATTACACTCTGGAGACCTTTATGTAGAAACACAGATTGCCAAAATTTTAATCTTAAAGTAATTTTACCCCCTTTCCACACCTTGATCTATTCCCCAGATGTTCTGTCTTTAACTTGTGTGCACATAAACTTGACACTTCTGAACCAATCCTTTTGGATTTAAACTAGCATCTCCTAGAAACAGGTCAAGTGTTTCCTGGGGATGTATTCAAACAAATCCAATGCATACAAACATGGGGCATGTGCATGCTCCGGGCAAGATGCTTTACATGCATAGAGATGTTAAACATGCTTTGGCCAAACAAGCTACCTTTTAAAAACGCAAGTGTGAACAAGTAGGTGTTTTTTGCATTGGAAACAGCCATAGGCATAAGGGAAATAATGCAAAAGAAAGTTACTGGTGCTCTTCCTCGGGTGACTGAGCTAAGGTGTCTGGAGAAGGACTTGTCAAGTCCATTCATTTTTAAGGCAGTTAAGTTTACTATGTTTCTCTTCTTGCTAGCTCAGGTGCCAGGTTTCTCTGTTCTCTTTTCCTTCCTGTTGCTCTGTTTCCTAGCAACTTATTCAAACCTCTAATCAATTAAATGCATTTACAACCCACCACCACACACCCATTTTTCACCAGGGAATTAAAACAAAATCTACAAAATGAAGTGTGCAAAGAATATCTATATAAAAGACTGACCTGTGATTGCTACTTAAATGCACAAACTACCAAAATATCAGATTAGCTGGGAGCACTTAAATGTATCCAGTGCTGGAAAGCTTTATAGCCAATGGTAATGTCTTCAAGACCTTCCCCAACTGAAGGGCAAAGGGAAAGAGTTTAGCATGGGAAAAAAAGTTATCAAAAAAGTAGCCAAGGCAACAAGAGCCTGTCTCTCCCCCCCCCTTTTCTGATTCTAAAGCAGGAATGCAAACAGAGGGCTGAGAATGCATGTGCAGTGATAGTGCTGGACGTTTATTGGACAATCGTGGTATGTCCAGAATTTGATTATGTCTAAGCTTTAAAGATTAGTCTCCACTTAGGAGAAAGTATAACTGATCTAATGATCCACTTAATC